AATGAGGAGCAATTGAATTGAGTTCCATTATCAGCTACAATTTGATTCGGGATCCCATATCTGCAGATGATCGAACTAAAAAAAAAATCTTCGACCTTCTTGGAGGTAAGACTAGATAATGGTCGAGCTTCTACCCACTTTGTGAAATAATCCACACCAACAATCAGATGGGTTACACCACCAACCCCCTTTAGGAATGGGCCTAAAAGATCTAATCCCCACTGTGCAAATGGCCATGGTGATACCAGGTTCGTGAGTTCTTCTGCAGGTTGGTGAGTCAAATGTGCAAAGAATTGGCATTTCGGGCACTTCTGAACAAATTGAATAGCATCTTTGTGCATGCTTGGCCAGTAATATCCTTGCCTTAAGACTTTGTGAGCCAGAGTTCTAGCACCAACGTGACTCCCACAGACACCTTCATGTACCTCCCGAAGTGCATACTCGACTTCATAAGGATTCAAGCATCGCAGAAGAGGAAGTGAAAAAGATCTCTTATAGAGGACCCCATCAACAAGTGTATACCGAGATGCTCTCTTCCTCAACTTCATTGCCTCTTGCCTTTCCTTAAGTACTATTCCATCTCGCAAAAAGGAGATAATTGAGTCAGTCCAGCTTGGTGTGTCAGGGTTTGTGCTAATCTCCATTATCCGAGGCTTCATGAAGCTTGGTTCATCTAAGACCTCCACAAAAACGGATCTGGAACTTAAAGGGCCATCAGAGGCGAACTTGGAGAGTAAATCTGCGTGTTCATTCTCAGTTCGGGGAATTTTACTCAGACAGAATTTCTGGAATTTGCACTTCAGCTCGGCCACCCAGGCAACGTACTTCACCATCACAGGATCAACAACTTCACAGATTGAGTTAATTTGGTTTACCACCAACTGGGAGTCACTGTATATTTGAATTGCACTAATTTTCAACTCCAATGCTAACTGTAGACCAAGTAGCAGAGCTTCATATTCAGCTATGTTATTTGTTGCATCGAAATTGAACTTCAGGGCATGTTCGCTTCGGTATCCCTCTGGACCAATCAAGAGAGCACCAGCCCCTGAACCCTTGCTACTAGATGCTCCGTCAACATATAAGGTCCACTCATTGGACTCTGGATTAGAGGTTGAAGGACATGGAGTGCATTCGACAATAAAATCTGCTAATGCTTGAGCTCGGATGGCCGATCTTTGCTGAAACGTTATCTCAAACTCTCCCAGTTCTACTGCCCACTTAATTAATCTTCCAAAGCACTCTGGTTTCTGCAGAATCTGTTTGAGAGGTTGATTGGTGAGAACTATAATTGGGTGTGACTGGAAATATGGCCTCAACTTTCTGGCCGAAGTGACGACTGCTAATGCTGCTTTCTCAGCTATAGGATACCTCAGTTCTGCTCCATGCAGCACGCTGCTGATATAATAAATTGGTTTCTGCTGTCTAGTTTCTTCTCTCACCAGAACTGAACTAATGGCCTCATCTGAAATCCCCAAGTACAAGTAAAGAAGTTCTCCATCTACAGCCTTAGTCAACAGAGGCGGTGAGCTAAGATAAGACTTCAGCTCTT